CAGCTGCGAGTCCAGGTCGGTCACGCTGTTCCGGTCCGGGCCTGTTGTGGACTGCAGGTTGCACATGCTGCAAGTGGGCCAGGAAACAGACTATGGGCCCTTGCCACCCCTAGGTGCCAGCCTCAAGAATGCAGGTCAGAGGCCCAGCTGGGGTCTCCCTGGCCCGGAGGTTCTCAACCTTTTCGGGGGGCATCAGATAAAAACTACAGACTTTCTCCCTAGACAAAGGTATGCACGCTTGTCTCCAAATGCTCAAATGCTCACAACTTTGTTCCTCTTTTGGGAGGGTCACAGACCACACAAGTTAAGAGCTCCAGACCAAAGCCCCCGTTAAATGCAGACATGAAATGGTTAGCCTAGCTCTGAAAAGGAGGCTTACAAACTACAGGTTTAAGTTTCTGAGGCTACGGGGTGAGGTGACAGGGAGACTGTAGGGTTGCTGCACAGGTGGACAAGCGGGCAAAGTCTCTGGGATCTTCAGGACAAAACTGAGGCCTCTGGGTCTGGTCCACGTGCCCATGTGACGGTCAGACGCTGCGAGGGCCATCTTTGGAGGTGATCTCCAACTTTGTACACTTCACCACCATGCTTGGCTCCACTTCCTACACTTGCTGGGTCACTGGGGACACAGATTTGGGGGTGAAAGCCCAGGATGGGGCACCTCCATGAATGTATTCAGGACTTCTGGATGACCCAGGCAAACTTCCTCACTGATTTGTCAGTGAGGTGGTGAGTGTCAGCCTGCTCCTTCCTATGATCAGAGCTACCGGAGATGGAGGCCTGGCACCTGGGATGACCCAGCCAGCCTGGCTCAGGGCCACATGGTTGAGACACTCTCTGGGGATGGCCCTAATGGGCTGCCGGACTCGGGCAGAGCGAGGGCTGACCTTGACCGAGTGAGGATGTTGCGGATCTTCTCGGCTTTTCGATACCGCGCCTGCAGCTCCTCCAGGCTGGGTGGCTCTTCAGGATCCAGCTCCACATAACGCTCAGGGATGGCGACCTTCTCTGGTTTGGACAGCTGAAGAGAGGACCACAAGGTGGAAGAGGGGGAGGCTTAGATGCTTAGAACCTGCTTCTCCTTGACCCCCACCCATGAGGAACCAGACCAAGTCCACAAAGATTAAATAACTTGCCAAAATCACAAAGACAGAGGGGTGGAGATTTAAACCAGGTTTTACTTCAAAGCCTATGTTCTTTCCACTATAGCAGACCACCTCATACAGACTGAGGG